CATCCTCAGTGGGGCTCATCGGTGGGAATGGCAGCACGCGACAATCTGCGTCAGAGTTATGGAACGCTCAGTTTTAGGACTGAGCCCTAGAGGAGAAGAGGGGCTCCGAAGTGCGTAAGCAACTTTCCTTTGAAAATTCGTCTTCCTCCGTAGTTCGAAGTGCGTAAGCAACTTTCCTCTGAAAAATTCGTCTTCCTCCGTAGCTCAGTCTCAGAAGTCTTCCTACTCTTCACCCTCACCCCCTCCCCCCACGCTTTGCAGTTACAAGTAGAATATTACCGGACAAAAAACACAATCCAACAAAAGACACAAACATTATCTTTCGAGAAATATCCATTTGATAAAGTTTGCCCTTCATTGTGAATCACGCCTACCTCCACTAATCGCATTCCTTCAGAATTTCCATAGTGACTCTAACACCAGTATAGCTGGGAGAAAGCTCGCCCCAGTGCGACACTTGTTTAAACGAGCGCGCGCGGGAACATTTTTCAAAGAGGCGAGCATCTCGGTGTATACCTCCGATCGGAAACGGCTCATGCTGTCTTTTTTTTCTGTCTTTTTTGGATCTTTCCAGCTTGTTTGCAGTAAAGGATATTTGTTTGCGGGTTCGCAGGTGAACAGTAGTATGCAAGTATGGCTCCTTAGAGTGCCCTCATAGTCATAGCTCGAACGTTAAGCTCAGTTTCTATGAGTAGTGTTCTCCGCAAACTTTTTGCAGCTTGAAATAGTAGTGTCAAGGGATTCCGCTATGGGGGCATAAGGTTTTTCGTTAGCACTTCGATAGTGCTTTCAAAGCTTTCTGAACCCCGTAATCGCTGTGCCTCTAAGTTCTTTACTTCCCGGCTGCCACAAATGAACTGGTTCATAGAGGTCGTCATGACTGCTGTGATAGAGTTTGTCCCTATTTTCGTGTTGTTAATGGAAGATGCAAAATGTGTATCAGCAGGCGAAAGCTCTTGCTGTCATATGTGCTTTAAGAATCTCCTTTTGCAGCTTAGAAGCTGAAGGCAAGCCTGAGACATGGCAACAGAAGAGCTCGTCTTTGAAGGGTGTAATTTCTTCCGCCAAAGACTTGCATATTCTGTGTTGAGTGGACGTCCAGTTACTATAAGAAATATCAGGAGTGATGATGATGCTCCTGGAATCAAAGGTTAGCCGATCTTCTGCGTTGCCTTTTTTGCTTCATATCTCAAACTTTTTAGATTTCGAAGCGAAACTCATCGCTCTGCTGGAGAAAATCACCAACGGCACAAAAGTCGAAATTAGTAGAACAGGTCATTGCTTTTTGACTGGCTTCATAAAGATTAAGATATTCTTAGTTCTTTTTCTGAGCTTGTTGTATTTTATTAAAGTCTAGTTTTTCAAGCTGAAACGCGAGAACATTCGCATTGCTCACTTCCTATGATGCGATAAGGGAAGATCGCTGCATTTATCTCTATTAGCATTACCTTGTTGTAGCGAGGAAGCGAATAGTTTCGAAAAAGTGTGGATCAAGAGAGTCTTTAGATCAGGATTTTCTTGAAATGTGCTTGATGTTGTGCGCTATGCATCGAAGAAATTGTTTTGAAAATGGGATGTTGAAGCATGCTGGTGATTGTACCATTTTTAGGTACTGAAGTGCGCTTTCCGTCCGGGTATCATTACGGGAGGAGTATTTACAATGGATTGTGGGTCTGAACGTTGCCTATCCTATTTCTTAGAACCTATCATAATCATATCTCCATTTTGTAAACATGCAATGACGGTAAAGCTAAAAGGTATGTCTTGAAGATTTTTTCAACTGTTTAAAGTTTGAATGATTTCGTGGAGTTTAGGAGTCACAAACGCTCCAGGAGAATTATCCGTGGATGCAATCAGGGCGACTTGGCTTCCTGTTTACAATAAATTCGTGCTCAACGATGAGAAATTGGAGTTAAAGGTATATCCAAATTTGGTTTTCTATGTTGCCTCGTTTTGAGTGTAATTTGTTCATGATTGCAGATAAGTGCTCGCGGTCTGAAGCCTGGTGGTGGTGGATGTATCACTTTTTCAGCACCCATCGTCAAAACTTTGCGACCAGTGCAGGTTCCATTTATCTATTTTTTTCGAATTTTCCTATTTCAAGAGCGTTTTTAAAATAATGCCGTGATATATATAAATAGTTTATTTTCTCCTTTTCTCTTCTTGAGCTATTGATGTTGACACCGACTTTTGCAGAGAAAAAGCAAGGCAAAATATGCAAAATTCGTGGGCAGGCATATGTCACAAAAGTAACTCCTTCACTAGCTTATCGAATGATCGATTCTGCGAAGAAAATGCTGCATGGTTATATTGCAGATGTATACATAACTGTTGATCAGAGGAAAGGAGACGCCGGCGGAAAGTCAGTTTCTCATTCAAGTTCATTTCAAAAATCATTCCATGTTGCATTCGTCTTTTTGCTGCAAGCAGAAGATTATATCTTACTCCCTAGAAGGGCTAGTGAACATTTTGAAGTGTCAAATATGAGCACTGTCGTGTGGCGTACGGGCCTCACTAAGGCTCCTAACTTTATAATTCTCTACCCATCATGACGCTTTGCTGTGACCTTTCTTAACCTCTCTGGGCTGGCTGCGGAGCGTGATGACTTGTATTGCTACGCCGTGTGGGAATTGAAAACGCTCCAATCAAGCACTGTTTGCCGCCCATACTGCGGTTCGCGCGTTGTATACATCCTATCCTTTTGATGCGGCGGGAACCTGGTAGTAAGTAAGAATGCGTGAGCCAGGGGGAATGGGGCCAATTCAGGGAGGTGGGGTGTGTGAGCCACTTTAACCTGTGGCAAAAGCTTTGGGCCTTAGTGTCTGGTGTCTGGCCTTGTGAAGGGAGAAGAAAGAGGAAGCAACAAGGATTAGATTCACAACAACGTCTCCAGCGCATCGCTGAACTCTACTGCTCATCGCGCTCGCTGCACACGCGCCCCAGAATGATTAAGGAAAGTCACGGAGCCGAGTGTTTCAACTGCACAAAATTGAAGTTTATTGTTCCCAGTGTTTATTTGAAGAAGTGTTTAGCTCTCCTGGATATGGTTTGTTTCTTACCGCTGAAACAACCGAGGGAGTTATGTACCATGGGGAAGCGATATCGAAACCAAAAGGGAGAAGCAGGTATCGCTATAATATCTGAAGATGTTGAACTAATGCTGCAGTTGCCCTTCTGGAGGAAATTTACAGGGTGTGTGATTTATCTGTATGGTATTGTTTTGTTCATCAAATCATCCTTTGTTTGATCGTCTTCATTGATGTGCTGCGCCTTCTTAGTAGCTTTTTCAGATGTCATGAATTTCTCATAATTTATATCATCTTGTCGTCATGTTTATAGGGAGGATGCCTGGATAGTTCGGCTCAACCACTGGCTAGTTCCTTCATGGCTCTTGGACAAAAAGATGTATCCAAATTTCTTTTTGGTCCTCTGACAGTGTACAGGTTGGTTGCTTTAAGCTTAGTTTGAAAGTGTTAGATCATTCCAAGTGGTGGTGTTGTTTGAGATGAATTTCCTCTCTTTAGTGTCCATGCTTTCCGGAATTTGAAATCGTTTTTCGAAATACAATTCAAGGTTGAAGAATGGGATAGGATACGGAGGTCAGAGAAGGGTAAGGAAGATGATGATACGATGCGGTTAGGCAGTAATGAGAAAGCGCTGGTTACTGCTTTGGGAATTGGTTTTAGTAATCTTAACAAGACTGTGTTATGATGCAGTTTGTATCCGTTTCTAATTTGTTATTCCGTATGCTGCTTGTTGTCCGTTGTTGTTATTGTTGTGGGAGAACTTGTCAATATCTGTATTATAAAGATTCTCAATTCTATTCCTGCATGTTCACTCGTTGGTTCCAAGTCCAGCAGTATTTCATTCAACGCTTCCACAATTTCTTTTCGGTGAGTGGTCTGAAGGCGTCAACATTACAGTAATGCATTGTGGGTTGCCCTTGACGGATGAGGTGTGGCGTTTTTTCTTGGAGGATGTTGATGGTGTAGGCAGAAAGAAACAGAGCGCCTCTCAGAATGTTTTGGAGTGGGAGTGGGTCTGGCTACAACAAGTGGCGGCTCTTCCCAATAACCACTTGGATCTCACTGATCCGTATAGGCCTGCTATTCAGTTGAAGCTACAGTAGGTTTTTTTTAAGTTTGCTACTTCAGAATAAATCTTATTATATGTTTTTTAAAGGTGTGAAGAATACTGGATTGCGTTGCATCCCGATCCAGATTTTCCATCCCAAGCACCTCAAGTAAAGTGTGCATATCAGCAAGGCTTTCTCTTTGATTGGTCTGCAGACAAGGATTCCAATCCTGAGGTTTGTGCCGATGTCTTTTTAAGAGAGGGTGGAAATTTTGCTAATATTTCAAAGGAAGGAATCATAATTACTATGTACATTTCTTTTTTCAATTAGTTATATCTCGAAATCCACCGTCGTTTTCCTTTTCTTGGCTTTGTTCGGATTAATCACGTGATTGAAAGCGATGATCTCTTGGCAGTTCAAACACTTTCATTACTCTTGATGTAAAACATGCTTGACTGCTGTATCACACTTAATTTAGGCGTGTTCTACGCTAGCTGATCTCGTGCAGCGCTACCATGATTACTGCTCATTACTTGATTTGGCAATTCTTCAAATAAAGCTGCTGAATAACGACAAGATGGTGCTATTAGGATACTCATTTCTTGACGAAGATCGCGAATGTCTAGCTGTTCAAGTGCGTCTGAAGGTTAGTAGAGCCGTCTTATGGTTAGTTTTAAAGAATTACTGAATGCCAAATTCCAGCACTCCACTGAGGAAACAATAGTAATCCACGTGGACTGGCAGAATCCGACGGATTTTCCTCGGTTCATCTCGAGTACTGACGAGCGAAGATTCCGGAATTTGGATTGTGATGTTTGGGATAACGACGACAGCTTGTGCAATAATCTAGCGAAATTCTTGGAAGAAGAACCTAATGAAGGTGATTTTTTTTGAAAGAATGGTTATTTTGGACGCCTCTTGGTTATACAGAGAACCCACCGATTCCCGTGACTAGAGAACCCAAAATATTCGAGCCTAGGTGACGGCTCTCCCCCTGAGCAACGAGAATGCCTACGTTAGACTATCTTAGGACGAAAATTGCCACAACCACTTCTCATGTTCCTTTTGTAGTCCTCGCTTATGTTTTATTACACGCTACATATTAACTGTGTCATAATACATTCATGAACAAAATGGTCTTTCTATTGGCCAAACGTCACATTCGCATATACATTCGCACATCCACAAAACAGCTTTCTCCAAAGGAACATGTTCGGAAACCTTCGACCCGATGAGCAAATTTTGAGTTTTTCTATTGTCCAGAAAAACGCCAAAGTGGACCTGTGAAGCGATCAGCGCGAATGGCTTCCTTCGCACATCATGCTGTGTGCTTGAGCAATTCGGTGCGGTCACATCCTCAATTTTTTGAGAGATGTTACTGCATATGGAATTTCGAGTTGCATCATTTTGACTATAGAGGAAAGTCCCTATACGGTCACAGTAAACCGTTTTAAACCTCTTGGTTGATCTTCATTGTCGGCTCTCAATAATGGCAATTCTGCGAAGGCTACATCTATTCCTGAAATAACATTTGTGTTCCTTGGCCTTTTTTCGGGGCGTTGACTAACTTCTTGCTGTTCCTTTAATGCCGTTTGGAGTGTAATTTTTGGAACTTTTCTTTCTTCCAACATTTCTATTTTACTTCAGAGGACTAGCTGTTTTTATCAGTCTGATGGTAGGGACATACAGTATGATTCAATTAATTTCTGAATAAACACGGATGCTGTCATGGTGGCCAACTCACTGAAAGAAAGGTGAGTTGTATATCAAGATATGAAGAAGATGAAGTTTTTCGCACGAAGTGCTAGATACGCAGAGCTCGAAGCAGGTGTGAAGACCAATGTTGTCGGACGTTTTGAGGAGGTCAATATTCATGTGAGAGTGCTCGACTTGTCAGAGTCTTATAGGAGGAGCACTTGGGTAGCTCAGTGATAATGTTTGAAATGTGTCACTCTTCTATATTCCCGTTTATGTTTGTCCACTCGTGAATAAATAGTTTGCGGCCTACATTTCTTCATATGGCTTGTGACGGTTCCCACCGTTTAATGTCATTAATTACTTTTACACTCCATGAATATTTTCTGTTTCCTTTATGGGTTGATTACAAATTTTTCCAGCATGAGTTCAAAGAAAGAAGAAAGTAGATTAGAAGAATACGTTGAATGGGCTGGGGGGGGGGAAAAAACCCCCAGAAAAATACATGCTAAACAGTATGAAGAGTAAGGAATTCAACGGTGATCGCTTTCTGTTCGTGTCTGTTTAGGACCTTGTAAAATATTTTGTTTTGAAGCTCTTCTAGGTCAAAAGAAAGCAAGCATGTCACATAAGACGATGTCAAAATAATTTCCTAAAACGAGCCTTGGAGGGCTTGCGAAAATCGCTGATAGTAGTTCGACTGTTTTTTGATTGCTTTCTCGCCGTGTTTTTTTTCTTTTACCTTTACTTTGATATTTTTCTAGAATAAGCGTCCGCCAAGCTTACGAACGGGAGAAGCTACGAGAAGCACTTGGAGATGCAGCTCCAGCTAAGGAGGTGCCGAAAACCATTGAGAGCACCAGAGAATATGATGAAACCATGGTCCAGGAGAATGACGACGAGTATCTACAGAATATATACTAAAGTGCAGTAAGATTTTGTGCGTACTTAATTTTTACAGAAAGCATGCACTAGAGAGTCACTTGAAATTGAGGAAAAGCAGTATTTATAGTGAGCACGACGAGGCTCACGACGAATTTGCGCAGTACTTCAATCGCGAAACCACTCCAAAAGTTTTAATAACGATGTCACCATTTGCGAGAAAAGTAGGGAATCACTATGTTAGCTCAATTATTTGAGTGAAGTGTTGATGTGAGTACTCTATTTGTATTCACCTTTTCAGACAACCTGGAAATTCTGCTTCGAGCTTCACAAGTGCATTCCGAATTCTGAAATTTTCTCTCGTAAAGGAGTGCCGCTGAAAAAAGTCGTAAAACAAGCTATATCAAAATCTTATACTGACTTATTAGTTGTTCATGAGGATCAAAAAAGAAACCAAGTAAGTTACCTGTTCTTCCGTATATCCTCATTTTTATTATTACTATTATTCAGATGGTATAATTTTCTTGTCATCTCCCTGAAGGACCGACTGCTTATTTCAAGATCAATAGTTTGAAGTTTTCGAAAGGACATAGCGGTAGGCAACTTGATTTCTATAGGCACCCGTTGCCATGTAAGCAATAGATCGGACAATTTTCCTTCTTCATCAAAACTTTTTATAGCGTTGCGGCGAATCCACTGACCATAATCCCGAAATTGTGCTGAACAATTTCAATACTCGATTAGGACACAGGTCAGTAGGAGAAAACAAATTGCCTCATGCCTTGTATAAACAAATTGCCTTATGCCTTGTGTTTTTGGGTTCAATGGCAGTGTTGAAAAAGTTATCTTGATTGAATCGTAACTTTTAAGATAAGTGTTTTTTAGTATTGCTCGAATGTTTGCCTGTCTTTTCCCACATGATCCAAAGTTCACAGGACGACGAGTGGTGACTTTTCATAATCAACGGGACTACATTTTCTTCCGGCATCATAGGTGAGCATTCCCTCGTTGTGCTAGTGTTTTTTTTTCAGAAAATTCAGAACACTGCAGCATGATTGATTTTTTTACTTGAAAATTATTGGCCTACACAGTTACTCGACTATGAGGAGGCTCTTTACTAGTTCATCAGGTTTTCCATGCCTACAATGTAAATGTACATGTAAATCTGTTGGTTCATGGCTTGTATTTGGTGACGGCTGTTTCTAATTTAAAGGCGGTGAATTTATGGCGTCGCGCATCTTCGACTTTCTTATTACGGACCCATCTTTGTGAGGTCTGATGCCGAGCGTTTTGTCCGACTTTACGTCGAAGGAAGATTGGCCAGCGATTTGTGCAGTGTGGTTAATAAGAAAGCTGCATGCTGACACAAATAGCACATCTAGATTATTAGATCAGAAAGATTATGAAAATGAAAAAAAGTCGCGCGTCACCACGTAGCCCACGTCGACCCTTATGTGTTTGATAAAAACTGTTCGTAATAGTTTAGTAGCACATAATTGAACGTTCAAGGACAGTGGTACAGTCAATATTCAAGTTCGACCTTTCTGTATGGAAAGAGAGCGTTGTTT